TTGAATATATATATATATATATATATATATATATATATAGGCCTATATATATATATATATATATATATATATATATATATATATTTGAAAGGAAATAAAACTTCAATATTAATAATAATTATTTAATATTATTAATATATATATATAACTATATATATATATACATATATATATATATATATTTGAAAGGAAATAAAACTTCAATAATATTAATACAAAATATGTTTTGAGCTTATGTAGTTATAGTCTAGTACGTCTGATAGTATATTCACCATTAAATTCATGGACTTTAGCTTGCCTTTACAGTATGACTATTCTGTTTTCTGACATAATCAACACAATCAACATTACGATTGTGAACAAAACCATAAATTAAAGTAACAGATGTTATATATTTTCTCGGACTGAGAACGTAGACATCTGTTTAGGCCCTATATTTCTTAATAGCTTTTCAATCATTTTGTACACTGTTGTTAGTCAATTAAGCAACACCTTGGTAACCAAAGTCTCAAGTTGATCCCAGTTATCTGGACTGCATGTCGTAACACTACGTTTACGTCATTTCAGTTTCAAGAGTCAAGGAAATAAATGACATTACACCATCAAGTTCAAAAACACACAAATGCTTAGGTGTGGTTTTGAAAGTTCTGAGAAGTTAAAAGAGGTCAAATCAAGGTCTATTTTAATCCACTTGATGAATATATGTGTGGGAAAATGTTGAGTGTTTCATGTTTTGTAAAACCTAACTGAGCGTAACTGCAATAATTATAAGATGATACAAAATAAGTTTAATACTACACGCATGACGACACATCGCATAAACGATAATCGTAGACCATTAACTTCATGAAGTCGGAAACAGAAAAAGCACCAAACCAATATGTATAGGATGCATAAATATAGAATAGAAAAGGTTTTAAATTCAGTACTTAGCCTACATTGCCAGGCATGCATTCCATAGTCTGTCTAATTCCAGTGTATAACTTAGTGTTCGTTTTATTCCATTTTTTTTATGTGTTCAGAGTGCATAGTGCATGTCATTCATCTAGTATTTTTTCGAGTTGCAAAATAAAGAAGCTACATAAACGAGTTTAAAATGGGTTATCCTTGTTGGAGGATTATCAATTGAATATAATATTGATTATTAATCGATCGATTCAGTATTTTAGAATTTACCACTCCCGTGTGAAGTAGTTGAAGTCTTAAAAAATATATTGGGTTACGGTACTTTGTCATCTAAATGCCATACAATACGATATTGAATGATTATCATTAGTAAAGTTTTCCAGTCAGTGAAGTCTATAGTAATAGCAAGTTATATAGATTAAATTATTTAGATAGATGTCAAGATATATAGAAATTACGATTTCAATACTTTGATATCAGTGGCAGATTTGGGGAAGCGGTGAGGTGAAGAGGGTGCCTATTCTGAAAAAAAAAAATCAAATTGGCTTTGAAGTTCAGGTTAGGCTTTCTGGCCAAGATAGCAAGGCCTTGGTCGAAACATGATGCAGACATGTCTACTATTTTTAATGTCAAAATTCCGTTTTCTCACGTGTAAACAGTCACACAGAATAATTATTTACAATAACAATGATGGTAAGGGAAAGCGTGGCACCCACCCCCACCACCACCTTTAATATTCTAGATCACTGGATATGTTTGCTTGAAACGGTTTATTTGCTGATTGTAGACGAACAATTGTGTCTTTATTCAATATAATTAATTTATCGGTACTAAGCCTGTGTTTTATATACAAATTTGATATACATAATTTCGAGGTAATTCTGATCAAGTGACAATTTAAATTACTTGTTTTACATTTGGTATATTTTGTCAACGACTAAGACTTAACTGCTCCTCCATAGGGCATACTCATTTCATTATAATTAGCTTGGCGCAAGAATAAGTAACGTATTAGTACTTTCGAAGTGATTTTTTATGAAGATACTTTAAGAAATTACAAATTTTTCATTTAACAAAATCGAAGGTCAACTTAACGTTAATAAAATTGATTCATATATTGTTAAAGGTGTTGTGCACTTATGTAGCATAATTCCTAATCGAGTTATTACAACAGTCCTCAAAACAGAAAATGGAATTAGAACATACGTCAATACTTTTATGATTTAGGCGCTTTTCTGCATGCAAAAGATATTCAAATAAAATACTATTATTGCGATAGAACACCGTCATCGGGATCTTATTTTTGCCACCATGGGTGTATGCATTTGTTTCTGTGTTTCACACAGCCAGGATTTACGCTGTCGCAATTAGTCACGTGACGTGATTTTATTGTGTTAAATAAAAAATTCATAAATAAAAGATCAACCAGTACACACCTACTACATCCTACTAAATGTTTGTAATGACTGTTAATCTGCATAAAGATTGGAGGGATAATTTTATGAGAAAAAGTAAAATGTTACGCTTCATAACAAAATGATCGTGTTGCATATCGCGTCAAATTCATATAGGCCTATACATTACTTTTAGGAAATTAATTTTCATTATTATTGTTCATTGTTTTATATTTTAGTGTCCTGCGCAGTATGTTTATTAGGTCAAAACATGATTTTAAACATTTAAATAATAAAATAGACAATAAGTCATTTCATTTCTTATATTTACTTCCAGTTTTAAATTTTGTGGAAGCCGGTGTTTGCGCAGAGGAAACGGTTTGATTTGGGGTTTCAATCCCTCGCTGTGCATTTCGCTTGTGTAATTGAGCAGGGCACTTTATCTTCGGTGCTCCTCTCCACCCAGGAGTATAAATGGGTACATGAGGAGGTTCGAGTGCAAGATGCACTGATATATTTTCATTTTCATTATATTTCAAACTATGGAATTTCCCCCATAGACATCGTTCCAATTACAGGGGTAATAATGTGGAAAAGCGCTCTGAGACTTATATGTAAGAGCGCTATATAAAAACGTACATATTATTATATATTGTTATTATTATTATTGTTATTATTATTATTATTATTATTATTATTATTATTACTACTACTATACTTATTATTGTTATTATTATTATTATTATTATTATTATTATCATTAATATTATTATTATTATCGGAGGACCATCAGACATACACATACCATACATTAATGGTCACTCACCTTATGTTGTTGAATTTTAATTGATAATATTGAGGTTTTTGTTATTTAATATTGGCCTAAATTGTGTCTAGAAGTTTCGTTGAGACACAGACGTGTATATGGGCCTACTCCCTTCTACGTGACGTCACAATAAATTTCACAGTCGCTTATATAGACACATATTGTTCTGTTACACGCACGTACACAGAATCTCAGACATCAGATTTAATCATTATCTGTCATTAAATTATAATACTGCTAGTCCTTGAATTATACCGGTTTACAATATTCCGTTGTATTTTCCTTAATATTAGACATAATTCGATAAATTTACACTTGGATATGCGCTATTAAAGAAGTGATTTTATTATTATTTTTCTGAATTTCATAAATTTAATAATTTCAGAGTAGACGACGTGACAGTGTTGGTTTTGAAGTGAATTATAGTACAATGTAAAGTTAACAGTGTCATGATGTATTTTATTGAAATTATGCAGACTGTATTTAAGCCTTTGGATTTTCATCCACCAGCGAGTGATCAACTCGCCAATTACAAGACGAACATGATGCTCTCTATAAAGTATCATTATGATTAGAGCGAAGTGGAGTGGAGAAAAATATTCTGATTTCAAAATCATTTGAATCCATGACCTATAAAAATAAAAGGCAAGCATTCTAACTTATGCTAGCTCCACTTCATGATAGTAATATCGCAGATGGGCTATCACGTCGAGTTAGCGCAACGTAGGGCTTTAAAGTGGGAACCAAGTTCAATACCTGCCAATGCCGAATTTGCTTGTGTTTGTGGGTAAGCACTTCGATATAATTACCACGTCCTTCGGATAGTAACGTTAAGCCGTTGGTTCCATGTGCAAATTAGCAAATGCGCACAAACAATTACTGACTATGGTAGGCGCTGCACTACGATCGCCGTGGGTCCCTAGAACGACTTTGGTGGTGAAGATTTAAAAACTCATAAAATGGTATTATTTGGAAGATTACTTTTGCATTTGGCTCCATTTATCCAGCTAGACGCAGTATACAGGACCAAAAAAAAATTAGGAATTACGACCATGAAACAGGGAGTCGTCTTATACACCAGACATACAAATATCAACCAAAAATCTTCTAAAACTCGGGGGTCGTCCTATACACGGGTCACCTTATAGGACCTACGCGAGTGTATACGGCTGTCTCTTATACACATCTAGATGTGTATAAGAGACAGATATATATTTATTGTATTACAATAATCATCATGGTAAGTATCTTGATGCGATTTTATTACTTCTTTAAGTCATAGTACATGTGTTATATTATTACCGTACTATTATTATTATTATTATTAGTATTATTAAGCCTATAATTAGATAGGCCTGTTGCTATTTCTACTATCATTTTTCTATATTAAGCATCCTTATAATGAATATAATAAGTAATTATAGTCTTGTTTTTTTTGTTACTGATTTGCAGAATGACGCAGGTACTTCAACACTTTCAAGTAAGATATGATTCAGATAATTTGTATGCACTTTATTCGAATAAACGCCCCGATTTTAATAAACGTCCTGGCTTGAATAAATTCCCCCTCCAGAGCCTCATTTGGAATAAACGTCTCCCTCGAGTAATCGCCCCGGGGGGGTTTATTTTATCATCGAACGAACGCCATCCCCGCCCCCCTCAACTAACAAATCTAATGGAAGCAACGTCTTTCTCAACACATTCTATTCATAATCTACTCTAGCAGAATTCCATTTTCTCTAATTTGGTTTGAATCAATAAGTCTTATAATCATGCAATAACACACTTTGACGGTAATTATGTATTGAAGCTCCACATTTACAGTGAAATTAAGGGGCGATTATTTGAGTAAATACCTATCCATTTTTACACCAAAATAAATAGATAAAGTAAACGCTTCCCTTGAATAAACGTCACCTCAAAAATCCTTCTTAACAATAAACGCCCCAGGGCGTTTATTCGAATAAATACGGTAATTTTCTTATAAAATTTCTTGTAATTTATTTCTATAAATTTACATGCTGTACAATTATCTAATTAACAGAAATCGTTATTCGTTCATTAAATATATATATTGGAAAATGAGTGGCTGACTAAATTGTTTGCAAACTCTCCATCAGGACTAATAATTTTGACAATTAAATATACTGTATTATTTTTCTGCACCAACTACTTACATAAAGATGAAAAATATAACTTTAGAAAAATTAAATATATAGATATAAAAATTTAAATAAAAAATAAAATAAATAAATAAAAAGCTAAAATTTAGACCAAAAATTTTTGTTTTGGAAACTTGAAAATAATGTTATTGAAATCTCAATTACAGAATTTAAAGTTGAAGATTCGTTATTGCGAATACCGGATTACCATAACAACCTACACTCAAGAGCGTGGAGTGTTCATCCGCGACCAATAGGAAAACGGACACTTGTTCTTTACGATCAGGTAGGCACACAATAATTATGAATACAAAAAAGTAGCACTGCAATATACTTTTTTTAATGACAATTGTTTAAATTGTTATATACTCTTATTACACTGGAGAACCTATTACTGTTTACACACATAGGATGGCCCAGTTATGTTTTATAAGTTATGTTTTGACGAAGTTTGAAGTCTCGACTCAGAAAATAAAAGGCAGACACCTAAAACTTAAAACTTCCTCCATGGTCATACGGAGTATTTACATTTCTCTATTTCAAATGTGAAGTTAAATTTATTCTCATAGGCACAAGGTCTATATTTGATGTTTGTGTAGTCATACCAACTTCAATTTTATAACCTACCACTGCCTCTAATTAGTGGTGAAACTGTCGCCCGGTGGACACTAACCCGGTATTTGTGTATTTCGGTCTTGGGAATCGAAATTATGTTAAATGTTCAATTTTTCGAACGTGTAATTTTATATTTAAGCGTATACATGACACATAGTAACACATCATAGTTATTATATTTACTTATTTCTTTGATAGCATGACCTTATTTCTTATTTTTACTTGTATATGATTAATATTTTTACAGCGAAGCACACATGAAACTTCTGATTTTGGAGGTAGGATGCTTATTTTTTCGCTAACTAAATCTTTGAAGGCAAATCTTTAACAAGGTATACGATTTAATTAGCGTATACACAATCGCTCAGCCATCTGATGACGTAATATGCCGTACGTTCAATAAATTGGTCGGTTTCACGTCCTGAAACACAGCGTTAGAAAAGTTGTTTGCATAATTACGTAGGCGCATTTCAAAGTAGGCGGAGCCAATTCCGTTATGATGTAATTGGGGGCGCACAAAATGTAACGCTCATTCTAAACTGCCGTGAACGTAGACGTGATTTTTTAAATATAAATTTTAACTCCTGATCCCCAATTAACTTTTAGGGGAGGAGAAGAAGCAGCAGCCAGGGACTTCAGTATCTTTCGGAAGGAAAAGCGTGGGAACGACATTAAATTTCTTACATCCTTCTCACACTGGTGGGGTAAGTATGTTCAATTGATGTTCACCATTTGAATATTGCTTTGTAATAGAATATGGAAGGTAAAATTAAGTTCTAAATAGTTAATTTTATTTTGAGACATAAAGTCCTGGGACCCCAAAATCAACAAAGTCACACCAATAATATATCTCAGTGTTTTATGTTCTCTGTGATTGTTGTGTTTCTATGCTGTTTTCGATTATTGTAAATGTGAGGCAATTTGTTAAAAGCGTCATTTAAATTAAACAAATAATCAATCTGTATCCCAATTTGCATTTATACTTCAAAAGATTGAATGCGTTTGAATACGATGTATGTTTCCTTGCTTTCCTTAAATATATACTATAATTGATTACCGACTACTTTAAATGTCTATGCAAATACAAGTAATACATATTAACAAATATACTGTAAATGTTATGTTTAATAAAACATATCGGGTATATAAAACAAATACTTTAAATCAGTAAGTAATGAAAATGCAGCATATTGACTACGACAATATTATTAACACAAGCTTGCGTGTAAACTGGTACACTTCATTTGGTAAAAAAATTTTAATCAGATTTCAAATATGCATGCGACAATATTCATTGACATTTTAAAGATAAGCCTAAATACGGTTTTTCTCTTTCTTAGGCTTCCACATCAGATGGAGCTTTACAATTTACAGGTAAGCTAGTGAACTATGTAATAATATGCGTATACAACCAAAAGGTCTGAAATAGGAAAGTCGAAAGAAACTCGAGCGAGTGAGCGTGGATTAATATTTAAAACTCGATATATTCATCATAAGGAATGGCGCTTTAGCAATAATATATCTTTAAATAATTTCCATTGTAATTATCAATAATTTATTATACTTGTAAAGAATTAACTATCATTAAGCAAACAAGTCAAACGCTTAATTGCTCTGTCAACCTCAATGCCATGGGTTTCTATATAGCGCCTAGTGCCAACAATGCGTCTATGCACTTAATAAACTTTCGTACAACACGAATGTATCTTCACTATTTTCCATGTTGTAAACATTCAGTCTTTCTACTAGGAAGTAACTTCTTTAAACTCTATGGTCGTACTGTATTTCTCTTAGAATTAGGACAACCAAATGAAAGTGACGACACTGAAACATCAGATAATTCGGAGCGACATAGTATTCTTCGACAAGGTAATACGTGGTTTGATGAAGCTAGAAAACAGGGACTAGTTCTGAAACCTAACAAGGGATCATCCGATAACATTTCAAATTTACGTCAGACTGCTGGAAGTACTAAACGCGTTTGGACAGCATATAGAAGGCCTCCATCTTGGACACGAGGATTGAATACGGGTGAGATGAACAATAATACGCTTTAAAAAACAGCGTGGCACACATGGCAACATGAAATCAAGTGCCCAGTAGGCCTACCTTAGCTTAATCCTAAACACGTCAGGATCCTAAGCACAATAAGCTCTGCCTAAACATGTTTAGATTCTACGTGCCACCAAATGCGGGACAAAATCGCTACGCGCGGAACATTGTGTTTAATAGCTTTATGGTTTAAATCCTCCACGCTTTTAAAGGTGTATGGGCAGCCATTTTGGCCAAAATAGACAACACACAACGATATACGAAACAAATGGCTGCCCATAGAATAAAACAGCAGGTTATTGATATTTAATAGTTACCAAGTAACGAATTAAACGCACATTATTCTCATATCTTGGGTTATGTAATTGTTCGTCATTGATATTTATCAGTAAATAGTTCAGTCAGAAAGATCCACAAACGCAGCTGACGCATTTTAAACACATTGATGCAAACGGGACGCAAACACATACGAGCGTCCTCTTTCGCGAAACAGTTTAGTTGCGTCAAAGTCTGCGTATATCAGGCCTCATTAGGCAACATTTAAATAATGTAAAACCATGCAATAGCCATTGCTGCCATTTAACTTCAGATTTTACAATACAATCAGGTCTATGGTTTGTATTTCAGGGAAGAAAGTAGAAAAACAAAAACAAGTTGGAACTCGTATGAAAGTATCTGGTAATATTGTTCGGCATATAATCTATTGTAAACCGCTTTCATTCAATCAATCAATCAACCAATCAATCGATTGAACGATCGATCTATCAATTAATCAATCAATCAATTAATCAATCTGTCAGTCAGTCAATCAATCAATCAATCAATCAATCAATCCATCAATATCAATAAACTCAATCAGTCAATCAACCAGACAATAAAAAACAAATTAATAAGTAATCAATCAATCAATCAATATATATATATATATATATATATATATATATATAAACTTGGGATAAACGTTTACAACTGTTCAAAAAATTCAAATCAGCTTCTGCCTTGCATGATTTTTGAGTAGCTTTTCTTAATATTATTATTATTTTATTATGGTATTATTATTATTCCAAGTAGACATTCATAAGTGAGAAATTAATATTTATTTATTTATTGAAAATATTTTGAGAGAGTGACTCTAACAGCAATTCTGACTTGAAGAGACCCTCTTTAAAGTTCAAAATACAGTTATAAAATTACTGTAATTTTGCAAAATGGTAAATCACACTTAACAACACGCTACCGTGAACATTGTTATTGATGGCTTACGACTTAGCAAAATGTTTATTAGGCTAACCTGTATAACTTACCATCTTACATCAGTATGGCAATCATTTGTTTCAGATATGTTGGTGAAACTCCAAAAACTCGGTGTGCTCGCTTGGCGATAATCTACAATGATTTGTCGTTATCCCTAAAACATCTGCTGTATGGAAATATGTTCGTTCAGTGATACTGTGAAAACCTTTAAAGGACATAAAGGTTATAAAACATTCCAATAGCCACTAACATTGACGAAGTTTATGGGATATGTAGCCGGGGAACAATTCAATAGTACAGTGTAGATAAAAGTATATGATTGCCATGAAAATTGTGGGTTTAATACAAATAACATTCAGGCCTTACCTTGTTTTTACATTTCACCAAAATGCCAATATAGATCAAACTGACTATCGTGTCGATAAATGTACTGCTAAGCATGGACTTATATAACTCCATGTGCTAAGTAAGTAAATAATTATAGTTGATCTCAATTTTTACATTTTTAGACGCCCTATATCTGGATTTAGTAATTATCTATGAAATAATAATATGAAGAACTGATATTTTTTTACGATTCTAAAATTAGTGCTAGTATGATTTGGTATGACGCCCTCATGCCGAAATAGAGTTAAGATGTATATTTTGGGTATCAATTGTAGGCATATGATTGTTACTTGACATACGAATGTATGCTTATTATACCTAGGCCTATAGCATAATAGTATAATACTGTACTGTCAATATTTTTTACAGAATATTTGTAACCTTTTAATCTCATAAACCAGTTGAAATTATTTGGAAATATTGTTTCGCATTTGCGTTCGGCGTTTGAATAGTGAACTTAAGTTAAGTACATTAAAAAAATAGTCTGCAAGGTATAGGCTAGTGTATTTATTACCAGACACCAATATCGTAGAGATTTAGCCTATTACCTGAATTGAAGACTTTTCGGCGGACGGCGTAAACGTTAACTTAAGACCATTTCGATTGCTCCACCTATTTTGTGAAATTTGCAAATGCACATGCATAATTTATTTTTAAAACGACAACGTCAGATTTTGAAAATACTTTACTTCTTAAACAATAATTTGCGGAGATCTTCCGCTGAAAAGTCTTCAATTTGACAAACGTAAGCGTGTCTATGCGCCATCAACGTGGCTTTAATGCATGTATGCTCGATCAATATGTTATGACATTTTTGAATAAGTTTTCACGTACTATATATCCGAAAATAACGGGGAAAAAAACATTTTTAATTATAGTCGCCTGACGCTCATAATGTACTTAATCAGTAAGGACTAGGCCTACTGGTGAAATTGCAGTGATGATAAGTGAAAAATAAATAAACTTACTGAATAGTTACTGATTTGCAAAATGTTATTATTGGTATGTACGCGTGTGTGGACGCATAGGATTTTTGCGCGGTACACATAATAAGGTTTGAACTTTATGGGTGTGGTCGTCGTGGTATGAACCGTATAGAGTACTACAGTGTTACGTCACGATACCACGTGATGCTACTCCGTTGCTATCGCCGACCCATTTTCTTCACTGAAAAACCATTGATCCCAATTTCTAACGTAATTATTAGGATGTTGTGTCTTAGTTTTTCTTTGTAAATTTTAATTGATGATTAAATGTGTGTTCGATTACTAATATAATGCGAGCTTTTGTGTTTTTAGTACATTCTGGTGGTAAATTATTAGGTTTTAAAATGCCTATTCCAGAAAGTCTATTCTAAACCATTAAGATTATGAAGTCATTCAGACGTAATGAACGGTAACGAACGTCTGGTTGACAACAAAGAGCACTACTTGGTGTTGTGAAAACACGACTGTTGTACTCGATAACGTTGAGGGGTGTCGTGTCATATGGTGTGTCATGGGGTTGGGGAAAACGGTGTGGCTCGTAGGCTAATAACTACCCGAAGCTTAACCATGTTTTTGTACAAAAACACGTGACATGCCTAAATATGGTCAAATATATAGGCACATCATGGCTATATCTAGGCATACAAACGGGTTTTTTTGTCAAATAAAATTTGATAATCTGGGCAGAGCTTTTTACACTGTATAAGAGCGATGCAATTTCCTTTGGAAGAATAAATATTAATTTGACATTGACTTTCACTTTGAGGATAATGACTTAGCCTATCTGCCAGATATAAATGCGACCTGTCATAAAAGCAAAAAATATATCCATCTTGTAATTTAAACTTTCTTTTTAGTAAATGCAGATGTTGACAGCATTAATTATAGCATGTATCCTTTGTCGTGTGGGAGAGCTTCTGCCTTATAATCTGAGATTCATCAGTTAAATTTCGTTTAGGTATGTTGTAGCGGTGCCCTTTGTAGCACAGGACAATCGATCGTTTACTTACGGACCCGAAAAATAGACTTGAACATTTCAAACGATGACAGATTAACCCTTAAAGAGCAAATTAATTATAAACACCTGCATTAATGATATGACCAGGTAACGCTTTTTGCAATTTCAACAATCTCATTTTTATTATTAGAGTGAAAGAAAATTATAAGCTAGCACAACGATAATAGGCAGATTTTCAATCTTACGAAAACGATGACGATGACGAATACGTCATTATCATTATCGTCATTCGTGCCTAAAACAGTCTTGACAATACGCTGTACGAGCTGAATAAGATCCTTGATTCATGTAAAAATTGTGACAGATATGTTACTAGGGGAAGGGCAGTCTACACATTTGATGACGTAAATTCCTCCATAGTACCAGTAACCGTATTCGTTATCGTTTTCGTAAGCTTGAGAAAACTTCCTATTATGTTAACAACGTATTCTCTATGTGAGTGAACTAAGAAGATAATGTAGCGTCATTTTCAATACTACAGTACGATCATGGAGGTATTAGTTCACTATAATAGCTCTATGGTACGATTTCTATCAGAAACTTAATAAATAGAGATATTTTAGATTGACACTTAGATATTTTCATTAAACAGAAATGTATCCAGTGATAGAGATATCTTTTATCAAAAATTAAGTTGTAAACAAACTTAACTCTATTTCTAATTCTAAGACAGTTTGGCTCACTTAAGGCATCCCGGTTTAAAAGTGGACAATTTATTTTCAAATAGAGATAAATCTAATTACAGTATCGTATCTTGAATTGAAACTAAGACAATTATAGGGCCTAAATTTAGAACTAAGATATCTTAGCTTAAAAATGTTCTGTAATAGGTGTTACTTTACTAATTGTTGCAAGAGAAAACCTGCCCATATTTTATCAAAACAAACACGGTTTACGTCGAGGAGGATACAATAACCAAGCTGGGGACTACGCCTGGTTGTTACAGGAAATGTTATCAATCCAGACTCACACTGCACACATTTTCTTCTACGCGTCATCATCAAGGTCCACAATGGCACGAATTAGGTAGGGTTGCTGCGATGATTGTACAGGCCTAGGCTATCAGGTTATAAAACATCGAAAATGTTTGAGGGACGAACGGCAGCAGACGAACTGGAGTCGTATACGCGCCTTATATCCAAATTCTTTGTTGTGATATATATTTATGGCTGGAACTGACATAAGTGATTCTTAGAACAAATAACTGCCAGCAAGACTATTTATTGTCTTCCAATATAATTTTATATGTACATATATTTAATATTATGCCTATGTATTTTTATGTACTTTTTTTGGTTCAGCAAAAACACATTAGAAGAACTGCAGTTACTTTGCCGTTTACTAGTTGCTGGCGTACCTATTTTATTGTCAGCATATATAACAGCACGGAATAACATTGCAAGTGAAATTCATAATTGTATTCACCTTGTTCATCAGAAAAATAATGTTAGTTAATAAAGTAATATTAGTATGAGGCTATTATTTACATATTATTATAGTACCGTACTTTGGAAGCAACACGTCCTAATACGACAGCGACACATCCTAATATTGGAACAGCACATCACATGATTTGATCCGCTTTTGATAATCCCTAGAATTGTCCCCGATACTAATGTTTTAAATTTTGTGATTATTATTTTATGCCATTTAATTGTTGTTTAAACTGCATTTCCTAAAATATGGAAACAAAAATGATGAACTTTTAGGTGCATCCTGTTGTTAGTAATTCTGATTTTATACAATAATTAATTTATACGGTATGCATTTATATGTAAATTTTTTATATAATTATGATGTGTACACATCGATGACTTGATACATTATTATGCAACTTAATTCATTCTACTGTCTATAGTATTCGTTTGTGGCGGTTTTCTACTTCGCTTGTTTAAATAGAACTCAACACACCGGGTTCTCTCCTGATAGAAAGTGTTTCGATCGATGCACAAATACTATTAATCAAATAATATGATAACATTGATATAATTGACGAAAGTTCTGGACTTTGTAATTGGCCAGTTGAAGCAAAATAAAAATTGTTTCGCACACAAGTTTGTTTAAATTTGAACTGATAGAATGGTAGATCATACAACACTTAGTGAGACAGTTTCTTTAATTCATTAAAAGTCTTTTTTACCAAAAGCGAATGACGGTCTCAAGTCCGTTCTTCCACCACCGCCAGCAGTCCTTGTTTTTCCACTTCCTCGCTTTTGCCAGCCTTGTGAGGACGACCGTGGTGACGCGCGCTTTCCAAAGGGAAGAATACGCAGACAGGCGTTGTGTGAACATGCACTTGTCTGTTTTGGTTTTTTCTTGATTCGGAGACATCGATCCCCAGGACAATTTCCTCTTTTTGACACTTCAGTTTCCTCGCTTCCAGTAGCTGCATAGTCGATACCATCTTCAGTAACAACATTTGAATCAGATGGCCAATCACTTTCTTCATACGTTTTCATCTGTAGAGCCTCGTTAGCTAGTAAATCTTCGGCAGCTGATTTTATTATATGAGCCAATACGTGTTTCTGTTTCAAAGTGTGTGATAATATCCTACGATCGAATCCTCCTCGCAAAAAATCGTTTTCTATCTCTGTATAACATAAGGAGAAAATAATCGATTTGGATTAATCAGCAATAAGAAACACAAAGAAAAACGCACAACTGCCTTATAGGCCTAATGATATGACAGCCACAACATTGCAAGAGAAGACTGAAGCAGATGGAATGCTGAGATCAGAGCAAATTGAATAGTGGCATGTTGCTTCGGACTGGGTGAACAAAAATCATGCAGATAAGATAACGAAATATTTTAGTAATGACATATATTTCAAATTAAATGCATTATACAGTAACTAAAATAACAAAACAACCTTGACGAAAAGAAGAAGAAAAAAAAACACATTTCTCCTAAGATCTCTGGATGTCAGCGATTTCATTTGTTACGTCTATCATAATTGTCATATTATGACAATTATGATAGATGTATTTACAATCAAGTAATGAAGTAAGTAAATACAAAATAAACAATATATAAGTAATCCTTATTTTTGGGTAGTACCGGTAAGTATTAAAATAAAATACTAACTAAACAAATATGTAGTTTCTATTGATGTGCAGTATACTAATTTTAAATAAAGTTAAGATGTTTTCAAACTTTTGTAAAAAGCTTAGACACATCTGTTTTTGGAAAAGGATGAACAATGGAGCAAAACTTATACAAAATAACCACTATATCCTAGCCTGCGCAAGAGGAGAAGAAAACAGGTGGATATGAGAAGTGAGACAGAGGAATTGAAGAAAATAAATAGAAACAACTGACGAATGATTGGAAATAAACCAGCAATTGAACGATATGCAATGAACGTGGTGATATTATTGTTGTTGATAATGATCGATGATTATAATGACGACGACGGTAATGAAGATGATGATGTTGATGATGATGAGCATTTGAATATTTGGATGCCTACATTATAGGCACAAGTTACTAGCTTTTAATTGATTAGTACGAGAAAACATATTCAACAAGTAATAATAAATGGTACCATTTCTATCTTTATGCATGAAGGCCGTGCATTAAAAATTGCTTGTATTCAATTTTAGGACTCTTGCAGTAAAAATCTGTAAATCTGGAAACACCTTCTAAATAATTGATCGGTATCGGTACATCTTAAGAATATAAACATTTTGAATAAAGGTTTTGAGAAGAACGTTTCATTTCCACTCAATTCCAAGAAAGGTAAAATTACATCGAAGTAACCGTTAGGCGGTGTCCTACATAATTCTATTACATGCTTTCAGTCTGCATGGTTTTAAGCATTATTACTTAACAAATTATAGTAGCAAAATAACAATGCAAAAATCTGAGTAATAAAAGTTTCTAACTCAGACGATCAACACGATAAAATTATATTCATAAGTTTTTTCTTTCGACTTAGGCATGCACATTTGAGTATCGATATTTTCATGAATTCCAAAATTCAATTACATGGTTTAAATTTTTAGAAGCATTGCAGTCATCCTCTGTTCTTATTACCTGTACTTCTCAGTGCCGATGGTACTTCGTCTGAAAGTACCGTCCAGGGCCAAATTATCGCCAAACATAGAACAATTAACTGCATTATTATAAAAATTCTCTGAAAAAAAGAATACAACTAGTAAGCCAATGTTTTATATAACTATTAAATATACCGTCTGCGATGATCTAATACACTTGAAAATACAACTCAATATTAGTACTATTATACTAGTAGTTTTCAATTTAGAATTATAATGAAAAATGCTCACCACTTAACGGACATAATATTAACTTCCCTATAGGATATTCTTTTTGCATACAATCCTAAACTGGCAGGTAATACATTTTATAATTTTTGCTGTAAAACGTCTATAAATCAATAAAATTTAATTATTTTGATCTATGTTTTATGGGAAGTTAATAACTAATTTGGTTCTTGTAAACGAACAATTTATGTGTTTTGTATATCTCACCACTGACGGAACCATATAGTCTAGACAATTTCGGGTTAGTGCTTTCTTGAAGTTTTTCCAGTTTGGTAAATTTTGTAAATAGACCAGAATGTAGGAAAGATTAATTTTTTATTACTGTTATTCGTGAGTGTTTTAGTTACAGTCTACAATATATTTTTCTTTCATAGTTAATTTATCAACGAATTTACAAGCAGTAGATTAAGATAACAGTCTATGATTTCATTGATGTTTGTAAAATTAACTAACATTTGAATAATTGTATGTCGAACTGAATTTCCGAAAGGAAAAACAGAACTATGAATTATGAAATATGCATAGTTTAACTGAAAAAAACCCACCGAAGTTTCAAGCAGTAGATTAAGATAACAGTTTTATATGATTTTATTAAATAATTGTATGCCGGACTGTCGAATTTTATTGAATAATTGTCGAATTTTTTGAATAACTGTCGAATTTTATTGAATAATTGTATGTCGAACTGAATTTCCGAAAGAAACAAAGGAACTATGAATTATGAAATATGCATAGTTTAGCTGAAGAAAAAAATTACCGAAGTTTCAAGCAGTAGATTAAGTTTTATATGATTTTATTGACGTTCTTTGTAAAATTAAACTTTGAGTTACCGTATATCGAACTGAATTTCCTACAAAGTACAATACACCACTGATTTGAAATCTACACAGTTAATCTATAATTACTTCTTTAAAAACTGGCCGTTTTTTTTTTTCAAAAATATTAAGTTGGTATTTACTTAAAATTATTATTTTTAGGTCTATTTATGAATAGGCTCCTAATAGCCGACCCTGGGCTTCAGTGCTTTGCACTGTCTGTACTGCCCGTAGCTACGCGTCTATTGAGTTTTTTAGTCACCGCATACATCTGTCGTACAAGTAAGTCTAAGATGCCTATGTATTTTTGTAAGTTAATTTATATTCCAATCAAATCAAATAAAAATGTATTTTTCCTTTTCGTTTGATTTGAATTCGTTTAGTAATAATTTTGATTTTGTCAGTATGACGATTGCTACTAATATCGCAAAAGATTATATTACTACCTGACCGGTATCAATTTGTCACAATCCTGACGTATACAATACATGCATATTATTATTGGTTA